GGTTTGTAGGAGATGCCAACCTGAAACTACCAATAGCTAAAGACAAAAAACAATCCAAGAAAAACCAGAGAGCTGAGGTTGACCCTGTGTCAGTGCATCACAGGATATACTTGGTTGGTATCTTCTAGATTTCTCTAATCTGTTCAGGTTTATTTGTATGGAGTTTTGGCACCAGAGTTAAAGATCGTATTCACGGTAATTCACAGTCTCCTTTCCCAATAGGTGTATAGTTCCTACCTGCAGAGGAGACGTGTGCTCCCCCTAGCACTCCGCCACAGCACAAGTGAGCTGAACATGATTAAGACAGCTATTGTTGAGTGAAATTTCTTCCATGTCTCTGTTAGCGACCACATTATCAGAATAGTTTAAATCCTTGTTGAAAATTATAGCTAACATCCAATGATATATTTTAAGAGATGTCAGAATATTTTTCAGACTTTGACATAAACTGAGGCCAGAAATTTGAAAGAATCTCTTTATTTTTATGCATTGCAATTTGTTTCTCATACTTCTGTCTGTGAGAGAAGCAATGTTGAAGGCTGCTTGCTTAATTACCGTAAGCGCCAGTGGCAATTCAGACTGCATTGTTTATAGCTTACAATGTTCCTATTTACTGTGAAACCACAAAGAGCCTGACAGATTTCTTTGTGTGAGAGTTACTTAAGAGTTCCGCAGGCCACAAAAAATATGGTATTATTTAACAAGCACTTTATCCTAGAAGGTGAGATATTATTACTCAAGTGTTACCCAAAGGCAGCTGATAAAGTAACAATAACTCCATCATGATAAATTTATTTAACACACAAGTATGGCATGAGCATTTAAAATAAAAGTTGCTATTTGACTTTTACTAAAACGTAAACATCATATTGTCTTCCTAGTGTAAGAACCTGGAAGAGTAAATAAAATCTAAAAGGTACAATAGATATTGTGAAAGGAAAAGAAGCTGCTCAAATGGTTAGAACAACTGGGATGAGGGAAAAGAGGAAAGGAAGGAAGGAAGGGAGGAAGGAAGGAAGAAAGGAAAGGGAGGAAGAAAGAAAGAAAGGAAGGAAGAAAGAAAGAAAGAAAGAAAGAAAGAAAGAAAGAAAGAAAGAAAGAAAGAAAGAAAAGAAAAGAAAATATGTATATATGTATAACAAGACAGCTGGGATAATTGTGCAGCTGATTTCTACTGCTTTATTGAAAGGAACAGTTAATGTTTAATTGTTTGATCAATCTTACATGCCTGTATTTGTTTATCTGATTAACCAATTTGAAGATATCAATATGTAACACAACAGCCATTGTTAATTTCCTATCACCCTGTCTGAAATTCTGTGTTGGTTTTACTATTTTTATGTTGTTTTGCTTACGTCTGCATGTTTGTTAAAGTGTTTTCATTCTTTTATCTTTAAAATAAAGAAACTATGATTTAAAAAATAAAAATTTAAAAAATGAAGCAATACCAGTCCTCTTCAGCCAGCGTCATCTCCCTTGAAACATGGATGGGACCATCTTGTTTCAAGGAAGCCAGAGGCTGAATACTAATTGAAAATCTGTAAGTAGGAATTTAAAAGCAGTACTTCCCCTGCTTCACCGTTTCACAAGAACTAAATTAAAATGCAGTTGTTTTCAAAGTATGTGGCCATAAGTGGTTTTCCTCCCCTTGGAACTATTTTGTAAGATATATAAGATAGCCATAACAGGTAAACAAAATTTCTCTTAGGTCCCATGGAGATTCAGACTGCTATCGTCAAAACTCTTTCCTCTTGGGTCTTGGCAGATATGCAGGGAAAGTCTTGATATGCTATGAAGCCCTCAGAATCCAACAATCTTCCCAGCCTGGCATCCCTGAGACCCCTGACATGCTCCCTGGAAAGGCAATGGGGGCTCTGGGCCCAGCGTGCTGGAAGAGCCAGCCTGGTGCCACTTCGGGCACAGATTTGGTCTTAGTGCCTAGGGCAGTCCTTTCCTCCAGTCCTGCTTTCCAGCTTGAAAGCAGTGGGGTAATCTGGGTCCAGTCACTCCTTTTAGGATTAGGGAGTGGGTATCTTTTATTGACTCAATACCTGAACTTGTTTTTCCTACTTCTTCCTATTTTAGAACCAGTGAAGAATTTGTTCTCACAGCCCACCTCCCTGCAGACTGTTGAGCCAAGGTAAGTGCTCTGACTCAGACCATCTTGCCTATGCACGCAGCTGTTTCAGGCTCCGATGGCACAGCAGTACTGAATCCTGGATGTTTCATGTCTCTCTTTTCCACTGTCAATTCCTCGGGATCAGCTAGGGTGATACACCCATCTTCTAAAATTCCAGAAGCAGCCAGTTAGGCAGTAAACTGAGGGAACAGATCCCTTCCAGTCCCTTCAAAAGCCATCTTTTCGTATTGGATCAGCATTAAGCCTCCCCACCCTCTCACCCCAACCTCCGTATTGCTGCCTTGCTCCCAGATGTTCTTGAGCAGCAAACTGCTGCATCTTCCTGGCAACTTGATGTCATGACAGCTACAAAAAATGCAACTGTCTTGGCAGAGACAGAGGTCATTTCTTCATTACTGGTGTATTTTTGGGAACCTACCTTTGGTCAGAACCCAGACAAGATTAGGGGCAAGAAAGTGCACACACAGCTGGCACAAAAGGGAGAGAAGCCATGCTTTTTTGATTCTAGGTCTTAAATCTTCTAGAATGGGTCACGCCATTGAGTGTGTGGTAGTGGAATAAAAAATTTGTGAGTAAAAAAGGTCTATGGCTTTTATACTAAAATACTAAATACAATGCTATAATATATCCATTTGTGTGCAATAATTAGTGCTCATGAGCTTTCATTTAGCTGGTGAGAAATAAGGAAGCCCCATTCACCCTTTGCGAGAGTCCTCCAGGAGTACAATTTACTTGTGTGAACAGGTATGCCTAGATAGCCCAGCTCATCTTCCAATATGTCTGTCAATCTCTGGTTTGATGACACTGTCCCATCCAAAACCAGCCTTTCCTATCAAATCTAAGGTGCAGCATGACACTGTTCTCATCCCACTGACATTCAGCAATTGCTAATTGTCTGTCCTACAGAATGACCCTGATCCCTTGCTGTCGTCCATGAAGGTCCCCATATCTGATACAGACCAGTCGCCCCCACCCCATCCATCCTTTTCCTGTTCATTGACACACACTTCGGCACTCACATAGCTGTCAGGTCATTATGAGCTGCTCTCCTGAATGTGCCAGGCTGTTTCAGAATTCTGTGTCTTTTCTCACTTTCACTCATCTGCCTAAAATTCTGCATCTTCTCACCTACTCATATTTCAAAGCATGTCTAAGGCTATTTCATCTGTGAGGCATTTATCAAACATTTCTATGTGTTCATATCTGTTTTCTGCTTCTGATTAGCTATACTCTTATATCCTATTATTTCCTTTTTTTAAAAATTTGGGCTCATCTTTAATGAGCTGCTCCTGTAATCAAATTTTAGTGGGACTACAGAACATTTCCTAAAACAGAAATTTTAAATGTAAAAACATGGTAGTGGTCACCAAATCAGATCTTTTTATCTATGTGTGAGTCAGCCGGTGATTAAGTGCATGCCTTAGTTGCCAAGAGAGATCCTGGGTCCAGTATCATCCTGACTTTATCACTCTCTAACTGGAAATGTTGCTTCATGTGTCTGAAACACAGTGTCTTCTACGCAGTTAGAATTACCCTATCTCATTAACTTTATTCACTCAACTAAATGGGATGGCATATGAAAATGACTTAGCAAACTTCCAGGCATGTAAAAAGCCCTCAATAAATCTTTTTTTACAGGATGTCACTAGAGTTAATACTAATCAAAACATTTGAGTTATTACTAAGAAAAACATAACTCTACCAAATTCTCAATTGTTTTTATCATTTTATCTATGAACAAAGTGCCTGTAACTCTCAGGTTGTCATATCTTAGTAGATGGTGGCACTTCTATTCAATAAACCATATGGCTGAAATTTCTCCCGTATCTTTGTCTCCTCCCCTTCCATTTTGAATCCACTGATTACTTCTAAAGACTCTTGTATCTACCACTTCTCTGAAACCAGTGCTCAAGGTCACTGTCACCTCTGTGCAATCTCCAACTGGACTCACCGCTCTCGGTCAGGTTTCAGTGGGGTCCACTTTAAAATGACAATTATCCTCCCATAGTGTAGTCATGTCATATCCCACTGCATTTAGAGCACTATTCAGGTCCTCATTCTGACCAAGCCTGTCCTGGATCTTCTCAAATTTCCCACCCTTCCCTGGACAACAATGGTGGTCTCATTTCATAATGCCCTCCCCGCAAGTTTTTCAAAGAGTTCCACCTAAAACTCCTTTTTGCCTAAGTGGCACATCTTCCAAGGGCAGAGGGAAATTTCAGATTACACAAGGATTATTCCGTTCTTTTATAATATTTATAGAAAATAGCTTCAATTTATTTATGCAATTCTAGCTTTCCTTAAAAAAAAAAAAACTTCCAAGACACCCACCCTCACCCTATAAATTCAAAGCTCCCCAAAAGCAAGGGCCAAGTTGTTTTGCTCTCCACTCTGCCACCTAGGAACATTTTTCTCTCTCCTGATCTGCTGTCTTCACCCTCTTTGCTGCTCCAAGCTGAGGCAAAAGCTCCTTCCATGCTTATTTCAAAGAGGCTAAGACTGCAAAGTCACATAGTAAGTCATTGGCAGACCTGGCCCTCGAATGAGGTCCTGGTGTAATACTGAAGAGTCCCACTCCCCCATCCCATCACTTTGTCATGTGACTCACAGACGGTGACAGCCACTCTCAGTCTGCAGTGATGATAGAGAAGAAGCAATAGTGTATGAGACTTGGATGCTTGTAAGGAAAAACTTCCAAGGTTCCGAGCAGATGCAGGGGTGGGGCGCTGGCTTATCCTTTAAAACTGGCAGTTACGATACTACATAAAACCCGGCTTTACACTTAGAGGTGAATGGAACCTGTCCTGCCCTCTGTGGGAACTTGGTAGGTCTCTTCAATCTTGCCAACACTCAATTCTTCATCATTAAAATGGACATAATAAATATATGTAAAGAGGGTGTTTGCCAGTTAAATTTTGCAATGCATAATGTATCCAGGTCATGAGCTAATTTCTAATATAGTACTAATAAATAGTGCCTTTACCAATAATCGGAGAATGCTTCATTCTCTTCGGGCCCACGGAACGAGGGATTCTAACTGGACCATAGATTCTGATCAAATGATTCTTTCCTGCAGGACAGCTAAGCCCTCTATCGTTAGCATGGAGGCGGAAAACCACACTCGGGTCTCCAAGTTTATCCTGGTGGGGTTCCCCGGGAGCTTGAACATGCGCACTGCAGTGTTCCTCATGTTCCTGGTGTGCTATATTCTGACAGTGACTGAAAACGTGATCATCATCCTCCTGGTGCAGCAGAACCGGCCATTGCACAAGCCCATGTACTTCTTCCTGGCCAACCTGTCCTTTCTGGAGACCTGGTACATCTCCGTGACCGTGCCCAAGCTGCTGTTCAGCTTTTGGTCTACGAGCAACAGCATCTCCTTCACTCACTGCATGATACAACTTTACTTCTTCATTGCGCTCATGTGCACAGAGTGTGTGCTCCTGGCTGCCATGGCCTATGACCGCTATGTGGCCATCTGCCGTCCACTCCACTACCCCACCATCATGAGCCATAGGCTCTGTTTCCGCCTGGCTTTTGGTTCCTGGGGCATCGGCTTTGGCATCTCTTTGGCAAAGATTTACTTCATCTCCCGTCTCACCTTCTGCGGGCCCAATGTCATCAATCACTTCTTCTGTGACATCTCGCCGGTACTCAATCTCTCCTGCACAGACATGTCCATAGCTGAGCTGGTGGACTTTGTCCTGGCCCTGGTCATCTTCCTCTTCCCACTCTCGGTCACTGTCCTGTCCTATGGATGCATCCTGGGAACTGTGCTGCGCATGCCCACTGGAAAGCAGAAAGCCTTCTCCACTTGCGCGTCCCACCTGGTGGTGGTCACCATCTTCTACTCAGCTACGATTTTCATGTATGCCCGGCCCCGAGCAATCCACGCCTTTAATATGAACAAAATTATTTCCATCTTCTATGCCATTGTCACCCCAGCACTAAACCCTTTCATTTATTGCCTCAGGAATCGGGAGGTGAAAGAAGCCCTGAAGAAACTGTCCTGTTACCAGGCAACTGGGTCTGACTAATCTATTATGAGCAGCGAGAGAGAGGGGTGCCTGAGTGCCTGCTCTGCCGCCCCCGTCTTTCCTCTTTCCTTCCGCCTCTGCCTGCGTTTACACGGCACCCCCGTGCCCACATCAGTCTTAGGCCCTTGGTGGCTTGAATCTGTGCTGTGTCGTCTATGCTGTAAGTGCACGTATGTCATAAAGAGAGAGCTAGAAAGAGGCGTTCTTGTTAGTTGTCCCCTGAAATGGAGCTTTTGAGATTATGAGTAAATTAGTAACTGGCGTGAAAAAAAGAGGTATATTAGTCAGCTATTTTGGGATCTGGCAACCATTAACATCCTCAAGGCCCATGGATTTGACAGTGGCAGCTTGATTTCCAATCGTCCTAACTGTGACAGAAGTAGAAGCTCCTCCACAGCCCCATACTTGACGTGCTGGGAGTCTGTCGCGGTAGCAGAGTTGAAAGCTGCTCCTCAAGCCCTTGGAAGACTTGCCAGCACCTCCTTTTCTATGTTAACACTTTCTGCTTCAAAGAGTGTTTTCTTTCACCTGGCAGTGAACACAACTTGTACAGTAATATTTTTCTTTCTAATATAATTTATACAGTTGCCTTTTATTGCATTTCGTATTTGCCTCCACAATGTTTAATGTCACAATGTTTGCCTGTGTCTTTCAATGAATGAGCATAAGGAAGATGATAAATAAGTATCATCAGATACATTAATTCCTGAATGGACTTACCCTTCTCAATAATTTTTTCTTCTGGTACCAGTGTTTTCTCATTCCTTTCCATTTTTCTTTTACTTCCTCCAACGTTTACTCTTCCTGCACTATTTTCACATACAAATAATCAGCCCAGTTTTAGGATTTGACGTGGATTTTCTTTCCATTCAATAGCGACTCTAAACCGTCTTTATTTATCTGACACCTTACATATTCACACAAAAGCTTTTTGATCAAACATATCTTTGCGGCCCATCTTTCATCTACAGTCTTGCCAACAGCAAAGGGAACTCTACTTTAAATTGCATTCAATATAATACTCTCCTATCGGTAAGAATTTAAATTTTATATAAAAAATTCAAAGCGGGAGCACATACTGCATTTGCAAATCTTTCATCTAAGTACAAGCAACACTTTCAAGAATGCGTTCTCTTTCTTTTGAAGAACCATTACTTGGAAGTATTTGTTCCCTTTTATGAACTGCCTGAACAGATAACTAAAGAGGCGAATAACATGGTTGTGGGAACAGGTAGCGGGGAGCAGAGGTCCAAACTGTCTCCTGGCTCCGTGCCCTGGATCCTTTCTCCAGCATGGAGTGTGTGTGTGGCTGTCCCTAGGGAGATGTATGCTGCTTTGCCTGCCAACTGTGGAAACCCATTGTGAAGGGATGTATTTGGAATAATGAATCACTATACCTGAAGCCCAGTTAATGATATAAAAATGGACAAATGTGAACTGTAGGTTCCAGGAAATAAAGGAAACAAAGGTGGAAACGGAGCACACCTCACTTTGGAAAACATACAAAAAGAAGCAATGCTTGTAATTAATGTTTGCTCATGGGATGTATTTTGGTCCATTAATACAATAAAAAGTGATTATTATATATGTTCTCTTGGTGCAAAAAGGAATTATGCTGTGAAAAATGACTTCAGATGAATCAAACAATGATGGCTGAGTCATATAGGAATATTCAACATGTGCATATAGGAATATTCAAGCAGGCAAAGACATAATCAGTAGACCCAGAACTTTACTAATATGCTAGGCAGTTCTAACCCAAATCAGGTTGCTATATCACAGTTACTGATCACATATACCTAGGGGCAGAATTGCCACATCATATGCTAATATTTAGCTTTTTGAAAAAATACCAAAATGTTTTCCACAGCAGCTGTGCCATTATTACCTTCCCATCCTGTGCATTAACATACATATTAGTCAGGAGCCTCCAAAAAAAAAAAAAAAAAAAACAAGACATAATCAGTAGAGATCAAGAAATGAAAGATGAAGCATTCTGGCAACATCTTGAGTTTTAGCCCAGTTATATTTTTGCCATGTGACCTTGGAAAAACTACTGCACTCTCTGAAACACTGACTGCTCATATGTAAAAGAGTATTAATAATGCTTCTCCCCAATATTCACATAGTAGTTATGAGAATCAACCAACATGATAAAAAAATACCTTGACTATTATCTCTCTAGAGTAGAGTAAAGTCTGAATAAGCTGCCACCTGGGTAGGGCTCACCTGGAGGAAGGTCATCAGGAAGGCTGTGCTCTCTGACCTATCCAAAGCTACCCTTAACAGACTGAGCTTCCTGTACAGTGTGTGAGGCTACAGATATAAGGGGCTATTTCATTCTCTATTACTTTCATAAGTACCCAAGTAGAGGAGAGTGTGGAAGTAGGATTTCCCTGCAAACCTATTAAACCATGTTTCAAAGAACAAATGACAAGCAGGAATGTGCCCTTGACCTCCTTGTGAAAAGACTTCCATAAGGACATAGGCTAGGGGAAGTACAGGCTTGGCTCAGACAAATCCTCCTAACGGAGAAGAACAGTTACAGCCATGTACTGATTAAATTCACACAGAAACAACCTGGAACACATGAATGTGGGGCACATGAAGTCAACTCAAGGTTTTAGTCTGGCATTGGTGGGGTTGTAGAGGTTGCCATGAAAAAGTCTGAAGTTGAGTTTTAGTAGTTTGCTAAGGGACCAAGCCCTGAACATGTGGTTATCACTAACCAAACTTCTAAGGAGTTTCACCAAAAAGATGTGAATATATTAATTTCACATGCGGTATACATTTTAGCTCACTGCATTCATTTATTCAACCAATATTTATTATGTATCTGCTGTGTTCCTGCAAAGATTTGATAATAAAAAAAACAAAAAACTTGCTAGTCTATTGAGCTGAAATAGATAATACCTTCTACAAACATCATACATAGGTACATAGTACTACATGTATATATACACATGTACATACTACATACTACATATATACTGGAGTGGGTTGAATGGTGGCTCTCAAAAATGCATATTCATATCTCTAGCCTGTAACTTGTGACTGTAAGGCATATTTGGGGGAAAGAGCACTTGAAATGCAATAATGTTAAGGATCACACAATGAGACCATCCTCGATTGTTTGAGTGGGCTCTAAGTCCACTGCAAAGGGTCCTATATGAAAAAGAAGCAAAGAAGACCACAGAGAAGACTGTGGGAAGATGGAAGCAGAGGTTGGAGTTGTGCATCCAGGAATCCCTTGAGCCACCAGAAGCTGGAGGACACAAGTCAAAATTCTCCCCTCGAATACTGAAAGAAAATACAGCGGTGTCTCGGTACTCATCATTAATTGGTTCTGGGAGGTATGACACATGCAAAAAATTACAAGCATCAAACAAATTATTTTGTCTGGAAAGGGTAACAATTGACACCAACACGTTCTACCTTTCATGTGGACTTCCAAACAAATGATGAGTATGTGGGACAAAGTTTTCACATCAAAATCCATCCAAATTCAACAAGGCTCAAAGCAAGGCAACACCAAGGTGCACCTGTACCTGTTGACGCTTTGACTTCAGACTTTTAGCCTCCAGAACTTTAAACATGTAATTGTTTTTTTAAGCCATAAAACTTTGATGTGTCTTTTTTTAGAGCCTAGGAAACTAATATAAGCAACAATCCAGGTGGCAGCAAGTGTTATGTGGGGCTGGGATGGAAGGATAACAGGAAGTGCAGGGTTTCTGAAATTTTAAATATGCTATTCGCAGAAGCTCTCTCTGAGTAAGTAACACTGGAGCAAGTACATGGAAAAGTACATGACCCTGGGGTAAGTCCATGGTCAGACTGAGTAAGACATGTAGTTACTTGGGCAAAGAACAGTCTGGAAGGAGAAACAGCAAGAGCAAATGTGGGATCTTACAGATGTGTCTGAGGAGACGTCTAGTAAGAAGAAGAGATAAGAGCAAGCCAGAGTGACTTGAACACTAAGCACTGATATAAAATAATCCTAAGCCTTACTCTGAATGGAGTGGGAACCCACTACAAGGTTTTGAGTAAAATAATGACAGGATCTCCTTGTTTTAAAAGGATCATTCTAGTTACTGTATGTTACTGGTAAGTTACAGTAACTACCAGAAGAGATTCTCACAAGGCAAGAGCAGGAGAAGGGAGACTATTTCATCAACACACAATGGTGGATTGGATCAGAATAGCAGTAATGGAAATGAGGGGAAATGGTCTGATTCTAGATGTATTTTCGAAGTATAACCAATACTCTATAGCCAATAAAAGGATGACAGAATACACAACATTCATGTCCATGTGGGCCAGCTTGATGAAATGTTCCTATCATGTTATGTGAGGAGCTCTCATCAATTATCTTTTGCTGTATGATAAGCCACTCCCAAACTATTTAGTTCCAGGACTGGAGGTTAGCCAAGTAGTTCTCCTGCTGCTTTGGTTGGGGCTTGCATAGGACTTTGCAGTTGGCTAGTAGGTCACTAGAAACTTGCCTGGATGGCCTCCCTTCGTGGGGCCTTTTGTCCCCCAGCAGGCTATCTTGACCTCATCACAAGGAGGTCACAGTGTTCCGAGAATGAGAGGGAAAGCTGACCAAATCTCTCAAGACCAACAGAGTCCACATTTTGTTGGCCAAATCAATATTATATTCAACAGGGGAGCCATGGATTCTACTGTCCCAGGACAAGAGCTACAGACAATGGTGACCTCTTTGACATCCACAAACATCCCCTGAATTTTTAAATAAGGCAACTACTAAAATGAAAATTAGTTTCTCCATACATAGTAGAGAATATAGTAGAAGGTATAAGGAAAGAAAGAAGGAAAGGTAGTTTAACTTAAAAAAAAAAAACTTTCATTTAGGTGAAACTGCTAATATTCTAAGTACTGTATACATCTCAGAGTATTTTCACAAATTGCAATTGGAAATTCTAAATTCAAATGACACCTGACTAACATTCCTAAGAGAACCTCTAGTACACAGAAAATGACAAAAATTCACAACTCTGTTGATAAGTAGCTACACAGGCGTTAACGCCTTAACATTCAGTCTTTGGTTATCTCATAAACTTGGGCAAGAGGGTTGCTAC